TGAAAACAATAAAAAACATCTATCTTGATAATCTTGATACTGGATTTAGTGATATGACATATAATAATAAATAATGATATTATAATAAATGMTTTTAAAAACAGTATACCAATTTTATTGTTAAAGTTGTCATGATATTGAGTGTTAATACTATGAACTTATGAAGACAAACTAGTCCTATTTCGTATTAATGTCATGGAATATTATTATTTATTATAGTATCATAACAAATTATTCTTATTTACTTTGTGGTTACAATCATCAACTATAGTTATGGTACGTTACTACGTTTGGTTAAGTTTGGTTATGTGTATGGTTACAATAATAATAATATTATGTTTTACCGATGACGGTAGATAAAATCATTAAATTGATAATAAATAACTGGCCGTCTGGATTTTAAACTTAAAAAGTCAAAATAAAGCCAAATCAATAATAATAGACTTATGCCAAAAAAATGTTTTCTAATCTTCTAGTTTTTTTTAAATGGATTTCTAACCGTATAAAACACAAATAGACTTAAACAAATGTTAGTTTTTTCTTATATTATGTTACTTATGTTTATAAAATTATTATAATCTACTTAATGGACCAGCAACAGTTTTCGTTGTCTTACGGTGGTGAAAACTACGCCGGAGACTACTTCCCAGAGGGTAACGTATTATTCTTACGAAATAAACATAGGTGTTTAATATATTAATCAAAAATTTACAAAAACAGATTACTATGAGTTATACGATGATGAATTAGAAAATGAAAATCAGTATTATCATCAAAATTTAGATTCAGAAAATCATAGTGAACCCTCTTTTTGGAGCAATCTAACTTTTTACCAGCTGTGTACTCAATGTGTTGTGCCAGCTATTTGGAGTACTGGAAATCTACTGGGAACTACTCTTCTTTTATGCATATTCTTTAGATTATTCATTGTTATATGTAAGTAAAACATATTATGTTAAAATTATATTTTAACAAGTTCTTAGATTTATCACGGTTTTAGGCAATAAAATCAATCTAGTCYCTGGAGCAGTCTTGCACACAGTGTGCGCCATATGTGGTGTTCTACCATTAATTATATTACATGAAGATGGAGACTTATATCAAACATTACTTCAAATTGTATTGTTTCCTATGTTCTGTTACATAGTGTCTATAATATGTATATTGACTTTAAAACAACATTCATCTACTGTATTCTCTATTATAATCCTATTTACACTATTCTATCGGTAAGTTAATATTAATTCAAATATAATAAAAGAAAACTAAATATTCTGAATAAAGATATTATATCAGTGTATTTATTATATGGTATCAGTGGCACACAGAAATATTTAGAGAACATGTGCAGTTAAAAAAATTAACCACCCACCTATCCATTTTCTTTACATTTTAAACAACATTCTTGCCTCTTTCCACAATTATATTCACTTATAAATCATTGTGATTCGTGAAAATGAATTATTATAGACTATAGTTTATATTATAAATGTGTAAACTTCCTTGTGACATAAGGAATTTACACCACCACCTCTCAAAAACACATTCAGTTGCAGTATTTGCTAACCTTGCTGAGTGCCACTGTATACTTAATTTAAATGTAATAACCTTATTTTTATGTATATAATTATATACTCTGTTTCAAAGTAGAATACATCGGTTCTATACTCATTTTTCCTTTTCTACCTGTCACCTTTACCATTATGTAAGAGATGTGTGCTGCTTGGTGTATTCTACTTTGAGACAAAGTATAGTAACTAGTTTAACCTCTAAAACAAGTAATGTCTAGTTAATGTACAAACTTATTAATTGTTTTCAATACTTAAATTACATTTAAAATTTTATATTTATATGTTTTATCTAATGAATTTAAAATAATGTTATATAACTGTAGAATAACATGATATAAAGATAAATATTAGTGACTAATACTAAAAATCTATGTTTTGATCTCAAGAAGATTTTGGATCACTATTTATATTTTTGCTTCTAGTCTATCTATGTAGTAACATAGAAATTTTGGGCGCAGCAGAACCAATCTTGTATTGTTAGTTTTCATATTAAAGTGAATTTACCTATCATCAAACTTGAAGTTCAGAACATTTTCTGTATTTATTTATTTACTTATTACAATATTTCATTTATTCTGCAATTTATGAGCATTTGTAAATTTTAATATTTTGTATACAAATTTACTTATTTTGTATTTTTATCAAATGTTATTTTTAATTTACCATAACATAAAAACTAATAACATAAGATTAGTTCTAATGAATTCAAAGTGGCTATACTGCTTGTAGGTGAAAGAGAAAAATATTAGTCTGATAGCATCTTCAAAAAAAGATATTATTAGAAATTTAAATGTTTACAGTGAATGTTTTACAAATAATTCAAAATGGCAAAAAACCAAAAGTGCTCATATGCTTATGTCAATGAAAGCAATGGCAATATTATTTGATATTCAATCAAATAAATTGTATACGTTTCCTTCAGTTCCTCAGTATACAGGTTACATGATGTGCGCAGGTACTGTTTATTTGGGTCCATTTTTAACATTTCAAGAATACTTAAATGCATTTTCTCCATCTATTTATTGGGTAATAATTTCATTTATTTCTATTAAATATAAAATAATATTAAAAACCTTGTTTTCATTTAAGAACAAGACCAAAGTCTGTCGTTTGATATGGAAAATAATAATTTCATTGTTTTGCTTTGTTTTGTCAATTTGTGTTGTTGATTGGCTGTTCAGCCAATATTTGCTTGCCAATAATAAAAGGTTTGATTTATTTATTCAAATTATATTTAATTTTCAATTTATTATAATTCTATGTTACAGCAATTCAATTATTAACATTTTTCTAACTATGTACAAACAAGCTTTGGAGTTCCGTACGGGTCATTATTTTGTAGCCTATGCTTCTACAGTATTTGCAACTGTTTGTGGATACCACAATGAACACAACAGTGAAATATTAGTAACCCATCCATTGATTATGGAATGGCCTCAATCTCTTTTACATGTTGTCATAAATTGGAACGCACCAATGCACTATTGGTTAAAAAAATGTAAGAATATTTTTCTATTAATATGTAAATTAATTTATACATCATTTATTTGTTTATTTATTTAGATATATTTGAAGAAGTACTGAAATATGGCAATAAAAATAAAAAACATAGAAATAGAATAATTGCTATAGGGACCACATATTTTGTGAGCTCACTATTACACGGCTTAGAACGACGTTTATCAGCTGTGTTACTTTCTCTTGCYGCATATACATATGTAGAACACCAAATACGTACAAAATTAGCATCAAGATTTCCAAACAAATTTTCTTATTATGCTAAAAATAAATTTCCCCATCATGGTTCAAAAAAATACTTAGGTAGCTTAAACCAAAGTAACTGGTTTTTTAGAAGTATTAACATTATGTTTACTATTTTAAACATTATACATTTAGCTTATCTTGGTTCATTAATTGATATGTCTGTAGGAAACTCTTACAGTACCACCTACCAAGAATCTTTTGCTTCTTGGAGTCGAGTATCATATTTTAGTCATTTTGTAATGTTGTTTATGTTTTTCATCAGTATTATATTGTAAATTTTCTATTAAGTAACTGCTCTCCATTAAAGTGCCAAATTTACCTAATTTAAATTCTTTAAAAATGGTATGAAAATAAATTGTTGTATATTATGATGAGCAGAATATATMATGATCTTAGCAGAAACCATATAACTTTGTTGTAACTGCAGTTACAAAACCGTTATTTTAGTAATATTTCATTATTAACAAAATGGTTGTATAAGATTCTAAGGGGAGGGGGGCTGATCTAATTGCTAAATGTAATGATTATTGTATTTTACAATTATGTTCAAACAAATTGTCATTAAACACAAAAATAATTTTTAAAACCAACACATTCGTTTAAAAATTTTAAATGATAATCATAAAAAAGTAGTATAAAATGTAATTTTTATTTATAAACAAATATTAACAATCACTAATATATAATGACTGAATTACATAAAAATATTTTTAAAAAAATGAACAGTTTCTAAAATAATGAGTGTTCACAGTGATATATATACACATAATATACTAATCAGTTTTTTCAATTCATTTCAACTTTATCAAAACAAAAGTAATAATTCAAATTGGTACATACCAATAATATAAAACATAAAAATATTTACAATGTACTTTTTCAGGTCTGAAAGCTGTAGTTATTTTAATAAAATTCCTTAATTGGTTAATTTATACCATAATATAGTAATATTGCATTATGCTGAACAGTATATTATTATAGTTTAATTTTTGTGGTTGACAAAACAAATTCAGTTTTATATTTTTTATTTTATAATGTTCATAGMTTTTAAAACATATTTAATTTATCCAAAGTAAAAAAGTGTTCAAAACAAATACTTATACATGCAGTGGCGTACATTCAAACTTTCTCTGGGGGGTTAAAAAGTTTATTAACAAAAAATAACCAACATAAAAACTTTCCCTTTATAACTACCCATTTACCTAGGTATGTAGACACATTTTAATCTGATATGCCTACCTACCTAAAAGTCTGCAGACTATGGTTGAAAAATATATACTCGTAATTTGTACGGCACTACCTACTTGTTAATGAAAAGGTAACGCAACGTGATAAAAATAATTTTAGGTAACGCAGATTTAATTTAAATAACAATATTTGAAGTAACAAGTAACATAATTTCAATAATTTTTAAAAGTAATTTACCCATCACTAWATATTTACGCATAGTAATAATAGAAACTCTTACTAATYTTATCTAAATATTTACCAATAAACTTCAATATATAGTTTTCAGTGTTTGACGTTTTACATAAACTTCTCGAGCAGCAGAATAAAGGTAGAATAGAATAAACAAAACTTTAAAATTGCCAATGGTCATTTACAATAGTATTATAAAAATAGAATCCATTTTACTGCATTATTGTTGTTCACGCGAAATTAAACGATTACTAAATGATAAGATATTGCATACGGCAACTATAATTTAATATTTTTTTTCGTTATGAGTAAAGTAAATAATTTATACTCAATAGTCAATTTTGTATATTATTATGATGTTTGTCTATGTACACTCATATAATTAATAGATATTAAAAGAAAATAACTAAATAGATATTGTTGTATACAGCTTTTTTAACAATTTATAGTTTACTTTTACATTATAGTTAACTAGTAGCTAGGAATATAAAAACAGTATAGTTAACAAAACTTTCCAAACACCTATCAATATAATTATTTAATTATTATAATATTTGTTTAAATGTATACTGTTCAGAACGTAACGTTCATCAATAATATCTAATTTTTTTTTTATTCCTGGGGAGGGGTTAACTCCCCCCCCCTTATGTACGCCACTGTATACATACAAAAATAATAACATTTAAATTTACAAAGCTTTAAAATAACATTTAAATTTACAAAGCTTTAAAATAACATTTAAATTTATAAAGCTTTAAAATAATATTTACAGTATTATCTAAAATTATAATGTAAATGATATGTATATAATGACATGTGTAAAAAAAAATTAAGTACCTATCAGCTTATACAAGTTTCAATATCTTACATTCAAAATACAATTGGTATTAAGATCAGTTGTTACTTACACAAACATAATTAGAAAAATAAAATTAGCTGCATAATTTCACTAGAATTCACAGACTAGAAGTTAGTTGTATGCTTCTTTTACGAATCATTTTAAACCGTACTTAATTATTACAAAAACATGACTTAAAAGTACAAATTACAAAAAATAATTTTAATTACCCTGTTTTTAAATATTACAATGGTATGGAAAGAAGATAATAATGGAATTCTATGAAACAATATAATGAACAAAATTCTATTTTCAGCAAATTGTTTAATATAAATTGAGTCAGGATAGTTATAGGTGAATACCGAATGAGAATAATAGAAATTCTACAATTTGATTAGCTAACCATACCACTGAAGCCACAACCAATTATTCTAAATCTAATTTAAAACAGTTAAAACTTAACGATTACAATATAATTTGACGTTTCTTTGACCAGTAGTAAAAAAAATCTGTTTGTGACATATTACCAGGATCAAGATTCAATTCATAAAGAGCTTCTCTCCTCCAAATCTATAATCAACAATAGATAATTAGTAAACATGGGTAATGAAATAATRCTAATAGTGTAACTCACATTTACATCTTCAGGAGATGGTTCTGATATAATCTTACTGCCATTAGACATTAGATCATGTTTAGCTACTAATCTAACTTKGTATAAGACATACTTGTAAAACATTGCATAGTAATTCGAAGATAAGTCTAGTTGAAACGTAATAGCAAATCTACTCATACATTTCTGTAAAACATAATATTATTTATATGAAGTAGGTTAAATATACTTTTAGTTGGTCTTACTTACATTAAGTACTTCAGGTCTCAAGCTTTTTACATTAAAACCTTTGAAAAGATTTATTGAATGAAACAAGGTACAACCATATGAATCCATATTGTTAATTGGTATAACATTATTAAGTTTTCTTAAATAGTAATCTATTGAACGCAAATAAAAATATTGYATTAATCTCCAATTTTATCCAAGGCTAGACATTAGTACATAAATATATTTAAAGTAAACTCATGTGAAACACAATTTATTTTATTTTAACTAATCAATTAATTATTTCAGATTTAATTTGGCTAAAGAACATTAATGACCAATATAACACAGCCTTGAATTAACATTTATATGGTTCCAGATTTATAATCGCTTATTAAATAAGTCTGTAGAAAAAATGTATAACATAATTAAATTATGATATCTTTTATTATTTAACTGACAGTTAAACTTTTAAATAAAATAATTATTATTATCGATAAAATGAATGTCTGGATRGGAAGATCAAAAAGAAGGTAAAGATATTATTACACTCTCCAAATTTAATGTTATTGTTTGGGTAAAAATTGCAACTATGTATTCATTAATTATTACCAAACCACATAGTGAAGTAGTTGATTATTTTAAACCAGTGTTTCTCAACCTGTGGTATGTGAAGGAAATCACTCTTTATAAAAAAAAAATGGAAGGGATCATTAAACACATTAAATATTGTTTGGTTTATTTAACATTAATAATAATTGTACATACCTATWTAATTTAATTGTCATGCCTTAAACGCTTATATTCTCATAATTTTGTTATTCTTAATAAAATAAAATTCCATACATATAAAATAATGTATCTAATATAATAACATAATAGGTATATAACATTTGTGATAATAAAAGAATATTTTTCAGGTAGTACCTACATGAAATTTTTAAACTGTGTTGGTCGTTCATGTGCAGATTTAATAAGGTTGAGAACCACTGTTTTAAATTATTTAGTTTATTATGGTAATGTATTAACCACAGTCCATTAGGTTTATACAGAGTACAGTRACAGTATAATAGTACAGTAATCCCTTGTTATCCGCGGAGGTTAGGTTCCAGCAAAGTTGCGCGGATAACAAGACCATAAGCAATGTAAAACGGGAAGTTAGGTTTTATTTACATACAATTTTTAATTTTTATTACTTTGTATTTAATTTTAAAAATCACAAAAAGGTTAATATGTTTTACAATTATTTGATTATTTATTTTTTTAATATAATTTATTAATTATTCATACATACATAATATATTAGGAAGAATGAAAAAAATTTGTAATTGATGTTTGACGTTTCTTCTCCGTTTCATTGAAATTTTAGGTCGTGAAGCCATTTAAAATGAAGTATGGTACTAAATTAAATAGTAATACAACCGTACACATGTCACTAATATCAACCAACAACTGAGGACTATCTTTTAAGTAACAAATTAACCGTACATATTAAGGTGTGTACTTTATGTAGTTTATCTGTTATAAGTATGGGTATAATAAAGATAAAATTTCACCATATGTGTTAATAAAATGTTATCGCCGACCCAACCGTGGATAATCGAAACCCTGGATTTTTAATCCGCGGATAATGAGGGATTACTGTAYCATAATATTTTGTCATAGGTATTTTAAAATGAATAATACAAGATTTTATAATTCAATTGGGCAATTCAAAGGTTGGTTTTGTTGATATTTTCCAACTACCCAAAGTCTTACCTTCCTAAACCCGGCATTAAATTAAACTTTACAAAATTACACAAATTATTTGTAATACTCACTTAACATTTGATTTTCATTGTTGGATACTTCCGAGTTACAACCATCCATACTACTGATTAAATGTACTAAGGCTGTTAATGTATCTGTACTAAACAGTATACCTGCATTGATATTTAATACACCGTTGATATATTCCCCAGCATAATAATTATGAAAGTGTTTATTGACATTCAAAAATGATATTAAATGTAATAAATTTTCATAAATTAGCCATACATTATCCTTGGCCAAAAATATCCAATCATATTTAATTTGATGAGAATTATATTTGTTATGTAAGAACATTAAAGTCTGGCAGTAATACTTCCATGGTTGTGATGAATAAGTATCAGTAACAACATGACCAATATATTTGTGATCTTGTTTACTCACATACATTTTGTTGTTGCCACATTTGTCAAGCCAAACATTATGTTGCATAAGTAATGAGTCTATGTCATTAATAAAAATAACACACAAAAGTGATACATTATGATTTATAGTAGATTTTGTTAGATCCACWATATGATAATGGTGATGATGGTTTAACTTGATTTGACTGCTAAAATGTTCAACTGGGACTGGAGTTAGCTTTGTATTGTCTTCATAATTCATTAGCAAATAATAAGTATAAACTGACATAATGCCAATAACAAAACCCATTAATAGAGGCATTGGCAATATACATATTTTAGRCCTATTACCATTTGTGTTTCTATACACCAACGCCATAGTTGCAGTTGAGATTTATAAATGTTTTATAATACGCATTAATGTTGAGATCTTGAAAAAAAATTTATAACGAAATTCTATACATTCTWGGCAAATGACAATTCTTTGAAACCATTAAAAATAGCAATTTTTGAACATACCTGCTCAATCATCTTTAACACCAAATAATAACGTAAGTTGTACAACTACAACTATGATCCGACATCCAAGTAGTACTGAAAAATTTAAACTGTAGAAATAGCTAGCGACTACAAAGTACAAACGTGAGCGTCTACAACTACTTTATGCGATAACTCACGTAAATTTGACACTTGCCCTCTTATCACTTCAGAGTACAGATTTTGATAAGGAAGATGACAGAAGGATGCATATTTTATTGCCTATGCATATCTTACAAGGGGTATAATTTATTTATTAGGTATAATRTATAAAATATATGGGTTATCATAAAATATAAAAGAAAAATTTAATGAAATATAACATTAAATAAATTTACTATCATTTTTTTATGGACTGAAACTATAAAAATAGAATATTTACGATATTACTAACTTCTAAATTTCCAATTCAATAAAATTCATTAAAATACTAAAATCTTATATTGTATTCCCTTTACACCACTTTATGACATGCCACATACATAATATTCATACATCATACATGCATAAAGTGCATTTAAATTTGTCGCCTACCTGTGAGAAAAAGTCGTATAGGTGCAAATATTTAAACAAATATACTGTATACAGTATACGTATACAACACTGGTCCGTAACGAGCAGTAAGATACTGAAGTAACAAGTAACATATTATTATAATTTATCGATAATAGGTAATCGGAATAAAAATCCTATAAGAAAAATGAATCACAGGAAAAATATTCCACTGTAATAAAAATTTACAATAAATYATGCAAAATGTTTAAAAAAATAATTAAATACTAATATAACAAATAATGGGCATAATTCTAGTTTAGCAACCTATCGATTTTTAAAATTTTTTTTTCTAAAATGTGTGTTTTACGGTGCTTTCTAGGAATGTAAAAAAATACCTGCATAACTTCGTTTTGAAGTTATTGACGAAAAA